TTTCTACCTTTTTTTTCCAATCACTGGCCATATGCATAACATTCCATTTTAAAGCCACTATCGCACCCTCTCTGCATTCTAATTCAAAGGATCTTGAGAGACCAGGGTAAATTCATACTTTCCAAGACCCATTGCTCACTGGTAAGGAATGGACATACCCAATTTGAAAGAGAAGTGAAGTGGCAATGAAACTTCATTTTCACTAAATCTTTTGCAGCCTTCCCCTCATTGCCACCTACACCATCTTCCCATACATCAATTGAGAAAATGGTATTAACTCTCCTAAAGTAGAAAGTCATAGGTCACATTGCCTTAATTAATTTAAGTTGGGATTGTATCCCTTTTTATCTTTCTCTCCTGGGAGACCACGGGTAACAGGATTGGTATTACTGCTGAGAAACAGCATGTATTTTTTAACCGTCGAGCTTTATTTGTTACAAATATTTAACACAAACCTTTCATTTGTGATGCCTGTAAAATTCCCATTGTAATCAGTTTTCAATTTACATCCTGTACTCTTCAGTAAATTTTCTTTCTCTGACTTTTCCCTTAGAAACATCTACTACTGTTTGTTTTCATTTCTGGCTGATTCCCTATTGTCATAGCTCCTTATATACATACGTGGAGAAGCCACCAAAACTAGCAGCCCAAAGCTTAGAGTCATCAATCATTGACTCATTAGTCTTGCTACTCCACAGTGTCTCCTGAAGAAAGCAACTTTTACTCTTTGTCTGTAGGGCTTGCTTCTAATGTTTCCTATCATCTCAATAAATACGGACCTGTGTCCATTCCTATGCTAGATGGTAGAGATACAGAAATGTTCCTGATATGTTCTCTAACTATGACAAACTTTCAGTCAAATGGAGGAAAACAGTCATAATTTTCCCCTCCAATTTAATTTGTTTCATCTCATTTATTCTTGCATTTAACAAATGGTTGAGTCTACCGAGTGTTAAAGATTGATCAGGTATTAATGGTACTGAGATTTACAAAACAGATATGGCCCTTCATGGAGCTTTTAGTCAAACTCAGGATCTATGTCTGTGGGAGTCAGTGTTTGAGCAATGAGTATAATGGCTTCAAAGGGTTATGGGTGATTCTGGTTCAATACTCAAAGTGGTACCACAATTCTTCCTCTTTATGAACAACAAAAAAAAAGTGTTTCTATTTGCTTAGGAAATATTATGGACCAAAACTCCATTTGGCTGGAAGTGAGTCAAGAACCCAGACAGCTCTAATTTTTATCTACTCACCCAAGCAGTTGGTGGTCTCAGGAGAGCCTGGGGTTATTGCTTCAGCTAGTTACTAAAGCCAGACAAGTCTCTGATGCTTCATCCAAAGTCACTCCTGACCCAGGGTCAATTGCCACAGTATACAAATTACTACAGGAAGAAGAAATTTTCAAAAACACCGTAAATGTTTTTCCCAGCCAGGTCATAGCCATTCAGCCTTGTAACAAGATGGAAGTATGCTAAAAATAACCTGAAATGTATTTGATCGAATTCTGCCTTCCTTATCAAGAAAGCCATTCTGTCCAGTTCTCCCAGCACCATCTGTTAAAGAGGCTGTCTTTTTTCCATTGGATACTCTTTCCTGCTTTTGTCAAAGATTAGTTGGCTGTATACTTTTGGGTCCGTTTCTGAGTTCTCAATTCTATTCCATTGGTCTATGTTTCTGTTTTTGTGCCAACACCATACTGTCTTGATGATGACAGCTTTGTAGTAGAGGCTAAAGTCTGGGATGGTGAGACAGGAAATCATCAAAACCCTAGAGGAGAAAGCAGGAAACAACCTCCTTGACCTCAACCGCAGCCATTTCTTACTTGACACAGCCCCAAAGGCAAGGGAATCAAGAGCACAAATGAACTATTGGGACCTCATCAAGATTAAAAGCTTCTGCACGGCAAAGGAAACAATCCATAAAACTAATAGACAACCGATGGAATGGGAAAAGATAGTGGCAAATGACGTATCAGATAAAGGGCTAGTATCCAAAATCTCTAAGGAAGTCACCAAACTCCACATCCAAAAAACAAACAACCCAGTGAAGAAATGGGCAGAAGATATGAACAGATACTTCTCCCAAGAGGACATCCAGATGGCCAACAGACACATGAAACGATGCTCAACATCCCTCCTCATCAGGGAAATACAAATCAAAACCACCCTGAGATACCACCTCACGCCAGTCAGAGTGGCTAAAATGAGCAAATCAGAGAACTCTAGATGCTGGCGAGGATGTGGAGAAACGGACACCCTCCGACACTGTTGGTGAGAATGTCAACTGGTGCAGCCCCTCTGGAAAACAGTGTGGAGGTTTCTCAACAAATTAACAATAGAACTCCCTTATGACCTAGCAATAGCACTGCTAGGAATTTACCCAAGGGATCCAGGAGTGCTGATGCATAGGGGCACATGGACCCCAATGTTCATAGCAGCACTCTCAACAATAGCCAAAACATGGAAAGAGCCTAACTGTCCATCAATGGATGAATGGATCAAGAAGATGTGGTTTATCTATACCATGGAATACTACATGGCAATGAGAAACAGTGAAATCTGGCCACGTGTAGCAACATGGATGGACCTTGAGGGTGTTATGCTGAGTGAAATAAGTCAGGCAGAGAAGGACAAATACCATATGTTTGCATGTATAGGAGGATTAGGAGGAACTTAAAGGAGGACCATGGGGGTGAAGAAGGGGGGAAATATGGGGGGAGAGGGAGGGGAGCAAACCATGAGAGACTCTTGAATGTTGAGAACAAACTGAGGACTGATGCATATGGGGGGGAGGGAAAGGGGGTGATGGGCATGGAGGAGGGCACTTGTGGGGATGAGCACTGGGTGTTATATGGAAACCAACTTGACAGTAAAGTATTAAAAAAAAAAAAGAAAGAAAGCCATTCTGTTGCTTTCTGCTTAATCATGAGGGAGAAAAACAAACAAGCAAGCAGAATATGAGACTTCAAGAGACAGAAAATCTAGATTGTTTAATATGTCTCCAGGGCCTCTTCATACCCATATGTGCCTGCTTGGGTGGGTAGGATCAGGGAGAGGACCTGGTTTGGGTAGGGGTTGCATGTGTGTTTCTGTAGTATCCCTGGATTTAGGTACATTTACACACATATGTTCATGAAGTATCTGGGATAACATTGGACTGTTTTTATTCTGTATGTATTTTCTTATGTGCATATACACATGTCTGAATGTATTTGTGGATACTGGTGCATGAGTCAGAGTGTGTGAGTGTATGTTCAAAGTGTAGCTTCAGTCACTTTCTTGTAAAAATCCTAATCCATCACTAGTTTCCAGCATTACAAAGATAGAGCTCATATCCCTGGTGAATCTGGTTATATCCAATGGTCTATAAGTTCTATGAATATAGGGGTCCCTAGAGTTGGCCTCCTAAGGAGTACTTGCTCAATGACCAACTGACAATAGTTTTAATGCATGCTTAGATCTGAAGCTGTGGGCATTAGTAGTCAATATGTTGTGATGGAACAATCTAGACACACAGGCTTTCCTGATGCCCCTATGAGAGACACATCTCCTCCACCCCTCATACATCAAACATGCCCCTTACTGAACTCTCTCTATGTGTCAAATACTCTATTAAGTATCAGGGAAGCCATGAAGACTTGATACTTGCTCTTAAGGAGTAGAAAAGGAGCTTCCCACTTCTCTGTATCCTCTTTGTTCCACACTTGAAAGATAAAGTTCAGGGCTTGCCTCACAACCAACTCATAACTTCCTCTGCTGAAAACTAGCCCACTTCTCCAACTGACTTGTAGACCTTGTCTAATTGAAGGAAGAGCCATGTAAAATCAATATACCTAAACCAACTCTCAGCCTCTAGCCTTTCCCCCTTATGGTTCACCCTATACAGACTGCTAGACTGCTATACAGAATGCTAAATCATTCTAAAACAACACTTGTATGTTTTTATTTGTCTACTCAAATCTACTCAATAATTATATATTACCTACAGGCAAACTCTATCATGTCCCTTTACAACTGTTTGTATCTACCCAACAGGCCTAAAGAAGATCATCTCCTGCTTAAGTAGTAGCCCCACTGAAAATAAATAGAAAACAATTCCAAGTAGCAAATATGGACATTTAATAATTTTGGACATCTTATATTTGTTGGACATTTAATATTTTTAAGGCATTTTTTTCTGATCTTAAGATTTTTATTTTCCGTACATAGTCACTCATTTAACAGAAATTTATTGAGCATCTAGTAACTGCCAGGCATATTGGGCAGATAACAGTTTGTTTCCTTACATGATAATTATTCAATCAAATATCTGACACTTAGTAGGTATTGATCAGATGGTCCATTAGGATGAGGTCTCCTGCCTCAACTCTACATGCTTTGCTTTGGCAGCAAGGGATAATGGAAAAAACTAGTCCTTGCAGAGAGCTCATGAGTTGCCCCTTACTAGCTCTGCTGTGCCCTGACTTATTCTTTCAATCTGCTCTGAAGCTCTCCCTTGCTCATATCTGTAGAAACACCAGTTTCCAGAAGTGGTTTTGACTCTTCCTCCAAACATTTTGCAAAACCATGGTCAGTCCATGTCCCCAGAGAATAGGGCCTGTTTGCAAGGAACAGACTTTTTGGATGATACCACAGGCTGCTTGACTAAGAGCCCCCACTAGAGTGCTCTCCTTACATGACCTATTTCTGCTAATGTGTGTGTAGTGCTAGCAAAATGTGAAGGGAGACATCAGGGAAAGTTTAACTGAGGATAGAGAGACAAGCTGAATTTCGAAAAATGTGTTGTGGAACGAAAGGAAGGGTATTCCTGATGAGGGTATATGCTTTATATGTGAATAAGTGGGGAGAGCAGGGGAAAAGATGAATTTGACCAAATGCAGGATGGTGAGCATAGTGAATACATATGAGACAAGGCTACTCCTTAGAACATCGCTACAAACCCCAATTTCTTTTATCTGTTGTATCATCTTTCACTTTTACCTTTGCAGGAACTTTACTTACCATGTCAGTGTCTGACACGGGGCCAAAACTGGTCACGTAGATATCAGTCTTCACTTCAGTCACTGCATCTAGGCCAGAGAAAGTAGGAAAGCAGAGTGTCATGAAAGTCAGTTCCCTCATCTCAGAGAGAGTCCAGCACAGTACTCCAAATGATAGCCAATTTGCTACTTCTGAGAAAGGATACTTGACAGTGATAAGAAAACCTGTAATATTTCTTCAGAGAACATGTTAGGTACAGGTAAAGGTTTAGATATCATTAAGAATGATAACAGAATCCCCAAACTCCAAAGTTTAAGAAGAGCCCTGAGAGATTACTCACATTATTATGTACTGGACTCTCACATTGGGATTACCCATACCTGTGGTAGGTTACCAATGATCTAATATCCAACTCTAACACTTCCAGAAACATAGAATGATTGTCTTCCCACTCTCCTGCCCACTTAATGTATAGAGAGGCCATGTGAATGGTTTTGGCTGGGGCGGGGGGGTGGGGTGGGGAGTTATATATGTTACTCTCTGGCTGGAACAATTAATGTCAATGCAAGATCATGGAAACATGTTATTCTAGAGCTCCCGTAAGGTTGAAACAGCCTGGTAATGAGCCAACACATGAAGGAAAACTTCCCTGGAAAGTTGCCTGGATCCACAACAGACTTTGCATGAAGGAGAAATGAACTTTAGTTGACAACGTTAAATGACTGAGAGTTGAAAATGACTGATATCACCTGATTAATGGTCTTTGCATTTATTTTCCTTTATTGTAACTGTCTATTTACTTATCTGCCTCCCCCACCTTACCCAAAAGCTCCTGTATGGCAATGTCCCTGTTTTTTTATCTCTGTATTCTTAATACATTGAAAAGGACCCTGTTATTCACATGGTACTCACTGAACATTTTTGGTATGGATGGATAAATCTTATCATATATTTACCAAGTTGTAAAATGATACCCAGAGAAGTGAAGTTATTTCATTGCTAGGTTTCTCTTTTCCTGCTTCAGTCAGCCCTGTTTATTTGCAGCCCAGACTAGCCTACACACTCCAGCATTCCTCAAACAGAACACAGGGCAGCCCACTTCAGCCTAGCAAAGACCCCATCATTATATTAAATTCAAATAATCTCAGATTAGACCAGCATACCAAACCCCAGTACTAGTAGTACAGCCAATACCAATAAAGCCCACACAAGACTTGATGTATATTTATATACATATACATATTTATACACATATATTTATATACATATACATATATAAATATATAATGAGACTGATTACTGTAATCTATGGCACTATTTCTTTTCTCTTATGGAGAGGTAGAGAACATACCTACCTACTTCATCTGTAGCATATTCACTATATTCATCCAGTCCTGGGTTCTGGCCCAGATGTCCCTTAGATACTGTTGACTTCCTACTTTCCAGAACCATCCCTTAGGCTTAATACACTGTTCCTCTACTCATGCACTGAGTATATTCAAGGCCACTGTGCACACCCACAAACATTACATTTTCAGAAGAAACTATGAGTATCAATTACTAATAAGCAACACTATAGTCAATTCACCAAAACACACACCTTACTCCCAAGCGCAATCAGCAAATAACATGCCTTTGAAACCAGAGCTGTGTTTTAAATAGTTTGGAGCATAGGCTTACCTCATATCCAGTTCTATGCTAGAAGGAGAAGATACAACACTTTAGGACCCAGAACACGCCTCCTGAAGACTTGTCCCTTCAGATGCACTCTCAGGTTCATTGGCTAGAGAATCATTGTCCTACCCCAAGTACACAAAACAAACTTAACTAATTAATGGAAGAGACCACAGTTATATTTGAATCCAATATTCAAGGTAGGACATAGTTAGATACAGAACTTTCTAAACCAATACAAGTGTAAAATTGTAAGATAATTATGCAGACCAAAATCTGGTTACTCAGACTACAGAGGAAAAAGGAGAAAGATACTGGTGGTAAAGTTAAATTGCAAGAGACCACCAAGGGGACAGTGGAGTCATTGGTTGTAGTGGAAAGGGAAATGGCTATAACAAAGAGCCTTGAGCTAAGACTTAGGTTCTGGATCTCTGTCCCTGACTTGCATAATGCCTTAAACAAGGCATTTATTTTCATTTTAGCTGTCCTCTTGTGCAATGAGCGTATGAGACCATCTAAATTCCAAATTTTCTTTTTGTTTGAACTAGGAACTCTGACTGTAAAGCCAAGCAAAAAATGTCTGACCAAAGATGCTCAATGGTAGCAAGAAGTAAGCTGCCTGAGGAATGTAGGAGGTTTTATGCAAATTTGGTGCTCCTATTCTTTCAATTATTCACTTTCACTTAAAAGGTACCCCTTGATTGCTAGAAAGGGAAACAGTGGGGAGATGCTGTTTTCCCATAGAGCTCACCCAAAGTTTCAGAAATTTCCCTGGCTTTGCAGCAGGGAAAGGGAGTTGGGAAGTCTGGTTTAGCACACAAGATGCCAAATCACTTCTTTCTCTATATCTGTTTGATTTGGAAAGAATCTGGAGGATAAGAGAATTAAGGGAAGTGGTACAAAATAAAGGGGAAAGAATGTAAGTGGGGGAAGAAAGAAAGAAGACAGAGATAATTAGAAGAAGATTGAAGGAATAAGCAAGCAAGGATTAAATGGGACAAAGACAAAGAGAATAGATAAAAGTTGCCCAGAAGTCTAAGGTCCTGGGTCCCAGACATAGGGAGTTTTCACTCACTACTCCAGGTTCTCTGTATGAAAGAAGGATTAGGAGTTTGCTCTTTCATTTAACTTAATAAAAAGACCAGTGAATTAGACTAGAAATGATAAGGGCTACAGTTCATAATCTAGCCCCTGTTCATAGTCCTCTCAATAGAGACAAACGTAAGACAAGAATTAATGAAGAGATAAGAAGGCCTCTCCTCTCCCACTTTACTTAACCATTGTTTTCAGATGCTCCTTGGTGCTTTCTTTATTTGCTTTGAGTATCCTAATTCCTTCCAATGTTATCCTTTGAAACCAAACGTGAAGAGAATTATGTTTCCTTTTGCAAATTTACTGTGATATTGCAAGAGCTTGAAAGCTCCTGTCTTTACATGAACACACATGACCTTAGCCCTCAGTGGTACTCCCACTAGTGGGGAACTTATCAACCAGTTCTCATGTCATTTCTGCTTGTTTTGATCTCAAAGATTAAAGATACGCCAGCCAGCAAGTGAACACTGTCTTTATATTTAATATGTTGTTCATAACAAATTGTATTTTCAAGTTTGACTTCAAATAGATTCACAAGAAATTGTGAATTTTCTCCTTTGAGCAGAAACCAGAGCAGGTTCCTCAACTCTAGTTGTTCCACCCTAGCACACAATAAACATTGGTCTTAGCACTGCCCTTTGGACTCACACAACAAAATTTGCTTCTTGATCTTTTGAGATTGAAAGACCTTCAGAGATTGAAAGAAAGTTATCATGGTACCCCCTAAATTTGCTCTTCTTGTTCCATTCTTGACTAAATATCTTGACTTCTTTTAACTATGTCTCCCTTCCCTTTGACATGGTTTTAATCATCCTCCCTATACCTCATTTACTCTCCTCTGGCACAGGTCTGATTTTTTTTATTGACACTGGAATGTTTAATGGTGGAAATATGTCACAATTCTATTAGAGAGAAGCTCATGAGATAAATGCTATGAACAAAAGCCAACTCTATCCCCTTATCTCATTATAGGCCATAATGGACAAGAATCCTTCCCAATAACAGTTTTCCTAAGAATAGTGAGGCTTTGAGGACTGGAAATTTAGCTAGAAGAAAAAGTCCCTAACTTTTCTATTTTCTTACTTCCAGATCACCAGGAATTTTGGAGAATAAGTGCCTATTGTACACGCTTTTCATCTTGGAGAGACACTGGACTGGTAGAAATGAGGTCCCATGTGACTAGCTATCTTGGTTGACTAGCTACATGAATTTAGGGAGTGGGCTACCATCACTTTGGGACAGGTTTTCACAGATCTGAGAGCTGGAGTGTTCTCTTATTATATTAATAGCCTTTCCATTTGTCTTTGACAACCCTTGGGGACCTAGATACTGGAAGCCCTCAGTGACCCCATCCCCCAATAGCATTGATTACAGATAAGCTCTCCAGGGGAATAACAAACAGGTGATTTAGGGGACCAGAAATTACAAGAGTCTGTGTCAGCTCTAATCTAATCTCTAGAATTGACTCACATCCTCTTTTGCAGGCTGTTTGGGCAAGATTCATAACTTTTAACATTTGGTAGGCTTGAAGTCTAGCCCTGTGTTTATGCTACTCCACCTACTGTGGGGCACCTGGAATGTACAGCAAATTTATATTTTTTAATTGAGGTAAAATGGTATGTAACATTATATTAGTTTCAGGTGTGCAACATAATAATTTGATATTTGTGTACCTTAAAAACTGATTATCACCATAAGGCTAGTTACCATCCATCACTATACAACTGACCCCCTTCACTCTTTTCTCCTACTCCATAATTCCTTTGACCTCTGATAACAACCAATGTATTCTCTGCATCTATGAGTAGTTTTTTTTTTCATTTGTCCATTTGTTTTATTTTAGATTCTACATGTAAGTGAAATCATATGGTATTTGTCTTTCTCTGACTTATTTTACTTAGTATAATACTAAGTCTGTGCATGTTTTCACAAATAGCCAAAATTCCTTCCTTTTTATGGCTGAGTAGTATTTCATTGTATATATGTGCCACATCTTTTCTATCCATTCATCTAACAATGAAGACTTAGGTTGTTTCTATATCTTGGCTATTCTAAATTATACTGCAGTGAACTTAGGGGTGCATATATCTTTTTGAATTAGTATTTAAATTTTCATCAGATAAATATCCATAAGTAGAATAGCTGGATAATATGGTAGATCTATTTTTAACTTTTGGCAGAACTTCTTAGTTTTCCATAGTGACTGTGCCAATTTTAATTTCTACCAACAGTGTATGAGGGACTTTTTGTCTTTTTAATATTAGGCATTCTAACAAGTGTGAGGTGATGTTTCATGGAAGCTTTAATTTGCATTTCCCTGGTA